ATAGGTGAGAAAACAATAAAGGTGGTACTAAACACCTGGGGTAACCCAAAAGAAGGCAGGAAAGACTCAACAAAAGAACAGAGAACTGAAGGAGAAAAAACAGAAGTGAATAGCAAGATGGTAAATAAACCCAGCTGTTATGGTTTGGATATGAGGTATCCCCACCCCCAAACTTCCTACCTCAAGGAAGGTGCTGGGACTGGAGGCACTTGTCACCACACCCAGTTTATGAAAGCCTTAACTGAATCAGTGGCTTAATCCACTGATATGGATTAATTGGGTGGTAAATGTAGGCAAGCAGGATGTGGCTGGAGGAGGTGGGTTGGGGTGAGGGCGTGCCTTTAGGGTTTGCATTTTGGTTGTGAAGAGCAGAGAACTCTCTACTTCCTGATTTCCATTTCCTGACCTGCTTTCTTCCCTCTGCCATGATGTTCTGCAGCTGTTCATGGACAGAACCTCTAAAATTGTGAACCCAAATAAACTTTTCCATCTCTGTGTATTTCTTATCAGGACTTTTGGTCACAGCATGGAATAAATTGACAATAACAAATAATTACATGAAATATTCAAGACAAAACCAGTTCATTAAAAAGCAGAGACTGGGCTGGGCACAGTGGTGCCCATCTGTAATACCAATGGTTAAGGAGGCTGAAACAGGAGGATTGCAAGTTCAAAGCCAGCCTCAGCAACTTAGTGAGGCACTAAGAAATTTAGTGAGACTGTGTCTCTAAATAAAATATAACAAAGGGTTGTGGAGGGGCTGGGGTTGTAGCTCAGCCATAGAGCACTTGCCTAGCATGTGCGAGACCTTGGGTTCGATCCTCAGCACCACATACAAATAAATAAATTAAATAAAGGTACTGTGTCCAACTACACCTAAAAAAATAAATATATTTTTGAAAAAGGGTTATGGATGTGGCTCAGTGATTAAACACCCCTGGATGGAATCACTGGTATCAAAATTAAATAAATAAATAAATAAATAAAGCAGAGCTTGCCAATCTAGATGAAAAAGCAAGATTGAGTCTATGTTGGCTTCAAGAAGTGTACTACAAAACAATCAGAGGAGGAAAAGTTTATTTTGTATTTTGGGGCTCAGGGTTTCAGAGGTCTCAGTCTATAGCTGGCCAACTCCATTCCTCTGGGCCTGAGATAAGGTAGAAAGTTATGGCAAAAATGTGTGGTGGATGAAAGCAGATGAGAAGATGGCACCAGCAAGCTGAGAGAGAGAGAGAACTCCTACTCAACAAGGACAAAATACATAGCCCAAAAGCATGCCCCCAGAGACCCACCTCCTCCTGCCACACCCTAACTTCCTGTAGTCACCACACAGTTAATTCCATTGGAGGATTAATGCATGATTAGGTTAAAACTCTTGTAACCCAATCATTTCACCTCTGAACTTTCCTGTGTTGTCTCACACAAGAGTTCTAGGGGGACATCTCACATCCAGACCCTAACTGTCACCATCTCTGATCATGTTCTAATAATATTATAAATGAATAATTCAAAGCGGCAATGAGTAATTCAAAATTTATTTGTGGCAAGTATTTGGGGAAATAGATTTTCTTATATGTTACTTGTCCAAGATGTACTTTAAAAAAAAAAGTACTCTGGCAATCTCTTACTACATTAAAAATAGGCAAACTCTTTGGCCCAACAATTCCACCCTGAAAATCTCTCCATTGGAATAAAATCAGTAAAAATGGACACAGGTATCAGGATTTTATTGTGACTTTTTTTAATGGAAAAAATTAAAAGGAATAAAAAGGTGAATCCTGACTAGCAGGGAATGATGACCTAAATTATGCTGCAACTGTAACACAATTATGTTATATTCTGTGGCGATTGGAAAAAATATAAATTAGAGCTGTAATTATTTACTGAAAGGGAATTTCATCAGATACTGAGGAAGGATATAGGAAGGCATATACAACATATAATCTCTTTTTGTTAAATGAAGAAAAGTACATCTACAAATGAACATGTTCGTGTGTTCACACATACGTGTACATGTGTGTGAGAAAAATCAAAGGGTTTATGTGGACCAGGATGAATGAAGAGGAGCTGAGCTGAAGGCCAGAAGAAATAACGGTGCATCGAGGCAAACGAAAATGTAATTATAAAGAAGAAAGATAGATATATATGTAATGTCTAATAGAGAGACAATGATTCCTTATTGAATGAAAATACAAGTTGGCAGAAAAGTGTGTGGCATGATTCTATTTTAGTTAAATGCCTCTATCCATCTACAAAAAAAATGTTGGATTTTGAGCAAAGAATATTTTACATGAGAACAAAGAAAAAAAAAAGAATTGTAGGAGTCTACCTCTTTGATAAAGGGACGTTATTACATGACCACGGACAGTGTTATTATATTTTAACACACGAGGATCAAAATCTCATTAAGTCAAAGACTGTCATAGGCAGAATTTCTAAGATGGTCTCCAAAAGATGTCTAATCTCTGCTACTCACAGTCCTCCCATGGTTGAAGGGAGACAACTGGGTGAACAGAATCTCATCACATGAACCTTTAAAAGCAGGAGCTTTTTTGGTCTGGTGGCAGAAGAGAAATCGGAGAAATTCAAAGCAGGGAAAGAATGAGACCAGCTGCTATTGACCTGAATGCCGGGATGAGAGAGCCACGTGGAAATATTGAGAAAATACATTTATAAAGGTGTTTTTCTTCATTGAACAAAATAGTGATCATGTATCAGAGCTGCCTTTCTAAATCCTTTTCCCACTCCACAATATTCAGCTACAACTTATTCATTTTAGTGGTTATCTAGCATTATGCTACAGCAAGATTGGGTTGCTAACACCAAGGACCCTGGAGAAGACCCCAAGGCTCAGATGACAACTGAAGCCCTGACTGAAATATTGATTTTCACCTTGTGAGATTTTTAAGTAGAGAAAACAGCTGAGCAGATTCTGAGATAGTACAAATTTTTGAGATAATACAGGGATGTTGCTTTAATCTAGAAATTTATGGTAATTTGTTCCAGCAGCAGTAGAAAATGAATACCTTGCTCAATGTTTAAAAAAAAATGTATATAAGTAGAAAATGGAGTGTGGTTTCTCTAACAGGAATCAACAGACAGATCAAAGGCATGGGCTTTGAGGTCATATAAAACTGGGACTATATTTTAGATTTTTCACTAATAAGATGTCTGATTTGAGGGAAGTTCTTTGATGTATCTGAGTCTCAACTTCCAAATCTGTAAAATGGTGTAATTATAACTATTTTAACTGGTGTGGGGTGTGTGTGTGTGTGTGTGTGTGTGTGTGAAATAGACAACAATATATGTGTGTTTCTTAGGAAATACTAAAAAGTGAATCATCGTATTATTATTTCATATTTGTTATCTCAACTTGCAATTATACAAGGAGAAAGCAAATTATAAAAATTCAAAAAGAATAATATTTTGAGATCCACATAAATATATTTTTCTACTCCCTCCCCCATTTTATCTTCCTTATCTTATTTTTTAAATTTTCATCTTGATATTTACTATAACAATTACACTACCAATAAAATATCTTTTAGATTGAAGGTAAAGATGGTCTTCCAAGGGGTTTACCTGGTCTTGCCTCAAAGAGTCAGGTTTCCAAGAAGGGGTGCTTAGCCCGTGTGACTTTTCCTTAAGGATGTTTCTTGGTGTCTGCCTTTAGTTTTTCACAGTCCACCGGGGCAGGCTCAAGATGCCCCTGTGAATGGGCCACAAGGACCAAGGCTGGGAAATTAGGTTCCGAGGTTCATGTCTGTGATCACAGATGCTTGGTAGACTGAGTCAGGAGGATCACACAGTTGAGGCCAGCCTAGACAATTTAGTGAGACCCCTTCTCAAAGTAAAATAAAATAAGATAAAAATAAAATTTAAAAAAAAGGGCTAGGGGTATAGCTCAGTGGTAAAATGCTACCAGTACTGAAATAAAATAATAAAATAAAATAAAATACCAAAGCTGGTGAGAAAGAGGCTGGTGGAATCCTCTGTGGCGACAAAAAGGTTTCTGAAACATGCTGACATGGAGCCATAGCCTCAAAATTTTACATTGTTGGAAATTTCATTTTAATACGTTCACTAGAGTAATTCCAAATGGCATGAAATGGCAACATTTGATTCTTGTGAGGGAAAAAAGAAGATAACAAATAAGGCTTTGACTGCTTACGATACATGTCTCCTTTTGGGAAAAAATAAAAATAAAAATAAAACGGTCAGGTCAATCCCCTCATCAAATCCGTGGCATCCTGAGGTTCTCCAAGCTCTAGCAGCCTCTAGACCAAGATATCTATCCCAAGATCCTGGAAGTAGGTCTTGGCATATGGAGTCACTGAGGGAGAGGTCCAGCCCATGACTGAGGAGACAAATCTATAGTAATATTCCTGCTTCAGTGATGGCTGCATTTATTTACTTATTTTTCACTTAAGAAACATTTATTGAGGAAGCACGGTGAGACAGCCAAAGATGAACAAGACACATTGTCTTGCAAAGAATTTACCAAGGAGGTGGGCGTTCTTGACTGAGGATATTTTGTCTCTCAGGGGACTTTCGGCAGTGTCTGGGGACTTTCTGGTTGCCATGACTGGAAGGAAAGGGCAGAAAGAGAGAGGCTAAGATTGACATTCAGTGGGTGGAGGCCAGGGATAATATCGAGCAAAGCACAGGTCAGTCCCTACAGCAGAGAATTGTCTAGTCCGAAATGCCAATAGTGCCAAGACTGAGGACCCCTGATGGTGGACAGGTCATGCAAGATGTGACTAAAGTTGCTCTAGGTGCAGGCTGAGGACAAAGCATTATCATTGCAAGGTTTCACACTGGACCACCAATAGGAAGTTCAGGGAAGTGCCTTTGAAAGCAGGATCCCAGAAACAGCTGAGGATGAAGGATGCTACCAGGATGAAGTAGGAAAGCAGACCAGAAACAGCTGCAAGTGAAAATCAGCTGAAGTGAAAATCTGCAATATATATATTTTTCACCTTTTCTGTCTTTAACCCTAGGGTGCTTTGCTAATAAAATTCCCCGCCCTACGGACAGTGACCTCAGTCTCTTGAAAGAAGACCGTGAATTACGCTCTCAGGTAAGACGAAGGCTGTACAAGTTGGCCTCAGAAGGTTCATGAAAACAGCAGCCCCTGATTGTTAACTATGATTTCTTAAAACATATTTCTAGGTAGAAAGTAATTTGGTCTTCAAAGCAGGTTTTTGAAGTGCAAGCCATGCTCAAGTGGCGGACGTCTGAGAAATCAGCAATGCCAGTAGATTTTTATTACATCCAAATCAGACTGTTTTAAGCCATTGAAGACTTTAGTTAAGTGAATCAGCCTACAAGACTCTTTCTAGCTTGGACAGGGGGATTAGAAAATGTGCTGGATGAGCACATTTTTGTGATTTGTTTGCCATAATCATGATGGTCACAAAATCTGAGTAGAAGCTATCTTGATAAACTTTGATCAGTTAAGTTGCCTAGGGGTGCAGATCATTGGTTAAATTAATTTTTTCTGGTATTACCGAATCCAGTTTTCAGATACTTAACTGTTTTCAAATCTCTTTCTACCTAGATTGACTGGCTGAATTTTAAGTATCCAGCAAAGTTAGCCTCATTAGAGATTTGAATTTAAAGGGTTACCTACTACACCTGATCCCTTCCTTTATAGGTTATATGAATGATTATCTTAATTCTCCACTTTCCTGACTAAATAGATAGAGTCAGGAATTGCTTAAAGACGTTTTGGTCAGTGTTGGACCACATATATGGAGGTGGTTCTTTAAGACTTTGTTATCAACTAGTACCTAGCTGTCATTGCCTAAGTTTTCTCTCTGATGTTCAAACAATGACGAAATTACCTAATGACGTATTTCTTGGAACATACCCCTATCATTAAGAGATGCATGACTGGATGGGTCTATGGAGAACACTTTCATGGTCTCAAGACTGACTTTTAAGTCAGTCACTCTCTCTCTCACTCTCTCTCTCTCTTTTAAATTTCATCTCTAAATAGTGGGCCACACCCTAATCATACAGATGACAGAGTTCTTAATGTCCAGGTGGCTACTTGGAGTATTGACACTTGGCGGTTGGTTCTGGAGCCCAGTGTGTGCTAACGAGGAAAGCTTAAGAGTCAGAAGTTTACAGAGATTTGTAACATTGAGAGACAACATTTCCTGAGTGTTAGGGGATTACAAGGTGCTGGCAAATGTTCTTGGCCTGCATCAAATGACTCATCGTGTTCTCACAACAAAGAATGGGGTAGATGCTGCTATTATCATCATTATCTCCATTTTATAGGTGAGAAAAGTGAAACACAGCAGAGGAACTAAATTAACCAAAATTACGTTGCTCATAAGAGTATCCCTGGGCTTTGAACCCATACTGTCTGGCTCAAGAACCTGTGTTTGTATTGATCCTTTCCTTCCCTTTTAGCCAGGCCTTTGTTTTCTACCTCTTGGTTTTCTAAAATCTTAAGGGCTATGATGTGAAAACCAAGGCACAATCTTCAAGAAGAAAAAGAAAAAAAAATGAAACAAAGCTCATCTCCTTTTAGTGCATGACATATAAAGTACTTAATGAGAACTAAAGAAAGGACATTATGGATCTGATACTTGCCTTTTACATAGTTTGCAAAATTCTCATACTAATGATTGACCTTAAACTTTGGAACCAAAAGAAAGGCGAAAGTAGGTAAGTTGGGAGTGAATATAATCTCTCCAGAAACCTAAAAATTCTTCCCTACATTTTCTGAGTTTGCATGCTCCAATTGAGTTTCTTTTTTTCATTTTATTTTTAACATTGCATTCCACAAATGACAGGTCAGTTTTTCCAGAGAGTAAGTTCCTCTCTGGGGGGCCAGGTGCATTGGGAAGAGGTCTCAAATCTGAACCATTTTCAGGAGAAACATGGGTATGTTGGGAATATTGTCAGTAATGTCAGTACAGGGGGAAGACAGACAGCACAGACAGACAGTGTTGTAGCTAAGGCCTGGGGTACGACTTTCCAAGACTGGACTCACCACCCTTCATAATCAACACTATTTCAGTGGACACATTTCAATTTTTTTTTTCCTCTCCTCTTCGCATGGTGTCAGGAATTAGTTTGCATCTTCAGTTGATATTAAAGATTCTGGCCTAGGTAATTTGTTGAGTGACTGTGGGAAAACGAGGTTCCTGTGGGATTTTAATAGTAAAGCGTCAGTTTTTCAAGTATTAAGTGACCAAAGAACTAGGAATTTGCGGTTCCAAGTGGCCTGGGATGCTAGTTGTCCTCTGGGACACAAACAGAAGACCAAAGAGGTTTCCAGGAGTCTCACAGGGTGAGCCCTAAGCTATGCAGCCGAGCACAGCTTGCTTTCTCCCAAGGGTGGTTATTGGAAAGCCTGTCCTGTAAAATTCTCCAGTGAACACGTCAGATGTGAATTTAAAAGAGGGGGAATGCTTCCTGCGGGTGGTTCTCTGGATTTAGGATGGATTTCTTTTTTAATTTGGATGGCAATAACTGCAGCAATGGAAAGAACATGATGTCATATTTATTTGCTTTGATACTTGAGAGGCACCTGGTGTTTGTTGTTGTTACCTGTGACTCGTAGATTCTGTGATCTTGTTAACACAGCCTCTTAGCAGAGGGTCTCCACCCCAAACCTTCCTCCTTTGCCTGCTCAAAAGATGGTGAGCATCACTTGGGCTGGCATGAAAGCTGCCAGGCCTCCCTTCTGTTCTTTCCCGAGCAGCTCAAAAGCATTTGTAATCCCCAGGATTCAGCCCTTTCTTCACCATTTCCTTTTTCTAAGGCTTTTTCTCTTTTGATGAAAACAATCCCCTTGGTCTTCAGTCAGGCCAGATGGGCAGGTGAACAGTTCTTCCCAGAGACCTGCAGAAAGACCCTGTAAGGGGAAGAGATGTTGTTGCTAAGTGGCCCTTAATTATGCCAACACTGAAGCCTCTCCACTAGACTGGTGTCACTGGCCTGTCTCTTTCTGCCACATCCTAATCCTTCTCCAGGAGCCCATAGCTCAGGCAAAATCCTCTGAACCACAGTAGTGAGCTGAGTTTTGCTTCTTCCCATGAAACACAGTTAAATAGATTTAAATGCCAGGAGGGTAGACAATTTTGAAACCTTGTTCCTGCAACATGTCCTAACTAGCAACTTCATAGAAACCCTATAACATATGCACAAAAAGCAATGTTAAATGCTCAATCACTCATCTATGCTGAATAATGAACTGGGACAAGATACTACTTACATCCTGAATATGCTAAAGCATTTTAAGTGCTATTTCCCCTTGCCCCTATGAAAAAAATTATATACAAACATAAATTATCTTAAATTATAATACTAAAGATTTACATATTCCTATTCGTGTATTACATATGGAATTAATATGATGTAGCACATAATACACATAGAAATCCAAGTTTTCATAAAAGTCATATGATTTTTGTCTGGGACAGTTATTATCCTTGTTTTTTAGATTAAAAAACTTCAACTTATGGACCATATCTATGTAATTTTCTTAAGTAGTAAAGAAGACTTGAATGTGTGTATCCTGACCATCACCTGACTACCTTTTTCAATAACCAATATTTTAAGTTTTCAAAATTCCTTAAAACCCATTTTTCCCCTCAGTTTGCATTATGTTTGGAAGAGGGGCCCTTCCTTGTTTCTCAACCAATGCTGTATTAGAACAGCAATCTTCACACACAAGGTATTTGGTTCATTAAATTGAAGATCAGATTTTTGATTTTAGCAATTTATCTTTAAATATATATTCTTGATTTCTGTAGTAGGTCAGGATCTGTGTAGCCATAGACATGAAATATAAAATGTGATGTTCCAAAATAAATGGGCATATCAATTTCTCTTTTAAAGTATAGGTATTCCTCTTTCTAAAGACATTGCTATTAGAAGAATCTCTGTCTCTGTCTCTCTCTTTTCTAATGATAATGGTCTTTGACTTCAGTATAGGCCAGAGGGTCTATTTTCTGTGTTTTAAATATTGGTGATATTGTAGATAAAGCATTATTTATTTTTTTAAGTTGTAGATGGATATAATATCTTTATTTTATTTATTTATTTTTATGTGGTGATGAGGATCAAACCCAATGTCTCATGCATACTAGGAAGGCACTCTACCACTGAGCTGCAATCCCAGGCTGATAAAGCATTATTTATGACTATTTAGATTGGTACAATGCCCTGTGACCAGGCTCACACACCCTGCTACTTATCTGGGAATTTCCCTGTGCATATTTACCTCCTTCTTGCAATCAAAACTCTGATTCATATTTTTGTTTATTTTAAGGTTCATTTCTTGAACTAATTTCCAAAATACCCATTTGAAGAAATGTTTAGTGCATTCATTCAGACATTCCTTAAAGAAAGTACAGAGGTTCACAACATCTTGGTGAGCTTTAGAATTCATAGGCACTTTTTGTCATGACTTAGCAACAGGAGGTGAAGTTCATTGTAAGTTGTACTGTAAGTACTTAGTGAAATGACCTCTAACAGTTATTTATTGAGCATCTAGTATGTGCTTGTTGCCATAGTAGGTGTTGTGAAAGACACAAAGAAATATGATACAAATTCCATTTCTACCACGAATTTAGTTTGAAAAAACAGGATAGGTATTCATAAACTAACCCAAATGGAAAGCAATGAGATGCACTCTATCATGAAACACCCATGTATTTTAGCAGATCAGGAGCTATGGTAGGTAAACCAAATTTATGGTAGTAATTTCTTGGTAGTCATTTCAACTTTCTGTCAAGTAACAATTCTGTCAAGTAAGCAAGTCATAAGGAAATGCTATCAAATCATAATTTAAATGTCTACTAAAGTGTGTGAGATAATTCAAAGCTCTCATATTTTGTCAAGAATTTTGGCACTCTTAAATTTAGTTAGTGGTGAAGTTATTTCAAAATGCCAGCCCTGAATGATCTGGTCAGAACTGCTTTTATTGTCATAAGAGCTACAGAGACTTAGAAAGATAAAAATGGACCGCCAAGACAGGTACTTCAAATTGATGGCTGTCATAAGTGGATTTTGTTCTTAAGGTAATCAAATCAATAAATTCCATAATAAAGGAAACAGTCTCATTGTGTTCACTAGGGATTTGATGACACATCGACATCACCTGCCTCTCTCCCTAAGGTTTTCCTGGTTACTGCATCCTGCCAACCCAAAACAACCTTTTGTAGTTACAAAATATTCCAACTACAGAGTGGTGCTGAAACTTGTATGAACTGATTTCAAGCAATTTCAAGTACTTGGCATCTTACAAATGATAATTAAGAACATGTAAAAAAAAAAAAAGGAAAGCAGAGTTTTAACATAACTGTCTTATAAATGCAAGCCGCACCTAATTTTCTACTTTTCTAGACTTGCGGTTTTCAAATTATTTTTTCTCATGAACGTTTTGCAATGAAATCTCCTGGGAGATCCCCATTTAGCAAATAGCTAAAAGCTGATATGGTTTGCGGGGAAAGGGAGCGAGAGCCCTCTAGGTTGTTAGCTCTCTCTGTCCCGATACCTTCCACAGTGGGTCTTCTAAGAAGCCATGGTTGAACCAAGGGGCTCAGTCTATCTTCTGGAACCATCATCATGAGTCACAGTTCCCTTAAGTTCTCGTGAATTAGCTGCACAGCCATGGTCAAAGTCCTGAGCTTAAATCTGTGTTGTCAAGAGTCCTAAAAAGTGAGACTCAAGGGTTATTAGTGATAAAGCTAGAATGCAGTGATTGGTTGAAGCAGAGAACAGAAGTGAGGACTCCTGAAGTTCTTGGTTCCTATATTCCTGAAACCCAGCTGTCTCCCTTGCTTTTTATTGAACTAATTATTCAAATCTTGCTTCAGACACATTTTTTTTTTTTTTTTTGGCTAGGAGATAGTCCAAGCTGCATTTCTTTTCCTTGCAACTCAAAGTCCTAAATGCAAATACCATGATTATGGTTCTGATTGCTTTTGATCCTAACAATTATGAGAGCCATTGCACGAGAGCTAATTCCAAAGTGAACATGCCCGGCTCTGTGCCCTGTGGAGATAAGAATTTCGTGAGAAAAAATCTGAAGTGGGGAGAACTGATTTCAATGCAAGATCTATGGCTAATTGTGTTTTTTTATGATCAATGGTTCTATGTCAGGCTGGAGGAAGGGTCCATTTTTTTTTTTCATGTATTAATTTCTCTAACAAGGGAAATAGCCTAACTGATCATTCTGTGAAGGAAAAATCAACTGTTTGGAGACCTGGAGAACTTGCAGATGATTCACAGGATACATCTTACTTGGAGGAACTGGAAAAACATCGATTTTCAGTTTGGTGAGTAACTGTTTCCTGTCTTTTTAAAATTAAGTTTAAATTCATTGAATCAAACGAGTTTTTGTTCTTTCTCTTATTATTTGTTTAACCAACAAAAATGATTGTGTATCTGTTTGGGCTACAGAATATGTATCCTGACTTGGAAATGTTTGTAGCCCAAAGATGATTGTGAATGAGGAAAAACCACGATTATGATGTAATAAGAGTATTTTTTTTTAATTGCATAAAATGCCTCACGCACACATAGAAGTAAGGTTCTCTAAAAAAGGTTGAGCCAGGGGTTGGGGTTGTGGCTCAGCAGTAGAGCGCTCACCTTGCATGTGCGAGGCCTTGGGTTCCATCCTCAGCACCACATAAAAATAAATAAACAAAATAAAGGTATTGTATTCAACTACAACTAAAAAATAAATACTTTTTAAAAACAGTTTGAGTCAAGTCTTAGAGGGAAGATTGCAGGAAAGAATTGGCAACACTGGTGTGGGCAGAATCCAGAGATGAATTTGGGACAGTAAGTTGTTTTTGGACCAAGAGAAGCAGGTCTTTGGAGGAGCCCCAGAGCCCACGCTTCCATGATTCTTCTAGGAAGGAAAATATGCAAGAGATGCTATTTGAAAATACTAAATCAGGTCCCAACTCCTGCATTTTCTCAATTCTCCACTCTTTCTCTGGTGACTTGGCTCCCTAATTGCCCTTTAGGAATGACCTTTTAGAGTCCAGAGCATATAATCTTATAATGTCATTCTGATTTTACCATAGAATTAAAAAGGATGGAGGTTTCCCAAGGATCCCAGAGTTTCAGCTCCAAATTGCTCCTGAAAATGCCACTCCTACGTAATGTTCTTCCAGGGGGCTTCCCATGATGCTCTAGGTCGGGACCAAGAGCAGCAAGTGTAGCTCCCAAGGCCAAATCCTGTCCTCCATTTTTGTCAATGAATTTTTATGGGAATCACACATTGACTGTTTTCCCTTACTGTGGCAGAATCGAGAGGTTGGAACAAAGACAGTATAGCCCACAGAGCCTAAAATATTTTCTATGTGGCTGTTTACCAAAAATGTTTACCAACCCCTGCTCCACATTGACTTAGAAGCTTCTGTGCTCTTCTATCATGACAATACTTTTATTTTTAAAAATCATTTTTTAATTGACAAGTAAATTTCTTTAACCATTGATGCATCAATGAACATTTGTGTTGCTTCCATATCTTGGCTATTGTGAACAATGCTGCAGGGAACATGGGACCCTCATGTTATTTTTAAGATATTTACATGCCTCCCTCTCTCACCAACTAGTCTCCTTGTACATTTTCGTCATCAATTGCTGCCTGCCGAATGACTGACAGCATAGTGTCTTGTGATAACCATTTTATTGGAGGGTTATTTATTTATTCGGAGGGTTATTGATTCAGGCAGGATGCATCATTCAAAGCTATTCTGTTGTTCAAAATAAGTCTCAGGGACAGACAGAGAAGGAAGACTCTCTCTCTCAATGCAGAAAGGAAAGGTGACATTACCAAAGCGCATGTGAAATGGAAGTTGTGATGTGGCTCTCTTTGGTAACATAATCTACCACATTTTGCTTCATTTGTTTTTCTGTGTGTAGCTTGCAGCATAGAATTTAACAAGTATTTAGTAAACAGAACTTGCAAATTAAAAGAAAATATGTAGGGTTTGTAGTAGATCTACTTGGGCGTGAATTCCAGTTCTATCACTGCTGTGTAACCTTGGGCAACTTGTTTGAACTCTCTGAGGCTGTTTTCTCTTGCATCAAACTGGAATAATAATGCCTGGATTGTGGGATTTGATAATTTTTGTGGAAAAATAATACACATAATATATCCTCCCTATACAGAAACTAGAACATGTAAATTCTTAATAAAGACTGCTATTATTATTAGCATCAATAATAATGCATCTCAAGGAAATGTCTTTTTTCCAAAGGTTAAAATAAAGAACTGCTTTGGTTTGGATCTTAACCATTTTCCAAAGAAGCATGTGCTAACACTTAGTCATATGGGATAATTAACCATTATATATATTGCTATTGGGAGCTTTAGGAAGTGGGGCCCAGTATAAGGAAGTTAGGTCATTGTGGGTTGCCTAGAAGGGGATATTGGGACCCTGACCCCTTCCTCCTGCTCTCTTTGGATTCTGATCATCATGAGGTGAGCAGCCTCTTCTACCATGCACCCCGCCGTGATGTACATTGTGTAGCCACAGCGCCAAGTAGCCATGAAATGGACCTCTGAGAACATGAGCCAAAATAAATATTTCCTCAAGTAAGATGTTTATCTCAGGGACTTTGTCACAGCAATGGAAAGCTATCTAACACAGTGGTGTGGATCACTCTAAGGTTATTTCTCATGTTCCATATCTACCTTCCTTTTTTTTTTTTTTTAAGCCTTTAAATTTTTTTTTATTATTTAATGTGTTTTTTTTAATTTTTTATTGTTGGCTGTTCAAAACATTATATAGTTCTTGATATATCATATTTCACACTTTGATTCAAGTGGGTTATGAGCTCCCATTTTTACCCCATATACAGATTGCAGAATCACATCAGTTACACATCCATTGATTTACATATTGCCATACTCGTGTCTGTTGTGTTCTGCTGCCTTTCCTATCCTCTACTATCCCCCCTCCCCTCCCCTCCCCTCTTCTCTCTCTGCCCCCTCTACTGACATTCATTTGTCCCCCTTGTATTATTTTTCCCTTTCCCCTCACTTCCTCTTGTATGTAATTTTGTATAACCCTGAGGGTCTCCTTCCATTTCCATGCAATTTCCCTTCTCTCTCCCTTTCCCTCCCACCTCTCATCCCTGTTTAATGTTAATCTTCTTCTCATGCTCTTCGACCCTACTCTGTTCTTAGTTACTCTCCTTATATCAAAGAAGACATTTGGCATTTGTTTTTTAGGGATTGGCTAGCTTCACTTAGCATAATCTGCTCTAATGCCATCCATTTCCCTGTAAATTCTATGATTTTGTCATTTTTTTAATGCAGAGTAATACTCCATTGTGTATAAATGCCACATTTTTTTTATCCATTCATCCATTGAAGGGCATCTAGGTTGGTTCCACAGTCTAGCTATTGTGAATTGTGCTGCTATGAACATCGATGTAGCAGTGTCCCTGTAGCATGCTCTTTTTAGGTCTTTAGGGAATAGACCGAGAAGGGGAATAGCTGGGTCAAATGGTGGCTCCATTCCCAGCTTTCCAAGAAATCTCCATACTGCTTTCCAAATTGGCTGCACCAATCTGCAGTCCCACCAGCAATGTACAAGTGTACCCTTTTCCCCACATCCTCGCCAGCACTTGTTGTTGTTTGACTTCATAATGGCTGCCAATCTAACTGGAATGAGATGGTATCTTAGGGTGGTTTTGATTTGCATTTCTCTGACTGCTAGAGATTCTACCTTCCTTTTTGTTGTTCAGATGCATTGAGTATTTTATAACATGGAATCCCTTGCAGTTCGTGCCTCTTTTATCTGAAGTGTTCTCCCACTTCTTAGTGGTGTGGTTTGCTGTAGGTCTCAGAGTCATTTTTACTTTCCCAGAGAGGCCTTTCATGGCTATTGTATATAAAGTAGAATCCATTCCTGTTGTGGTTACTGACTTTCTCATCACCTTGTTTGTTTCCTTTGATGTCCTTACCACAGTTTATAGTAATCTTTTGTATTTGTTTTTATTTACTCAGTTCTGTTACCTCTTACTCCACAGAAGTTATAGTACAAGCCCCTCTGGTCTAGGGTCATCTGAGTCATTATCTGACATCTGGGTCATCAGCCCCAAGCTCTAGAATACTAGGTATCTAAGATGATCAGTAAATACATATTGACAAGTAAATAAAGAAATGAGTGACAATTTCATTTATTTTCATGTTTTTATTGGTGCATCATAATTGTACTTAGTGGTGGGATTTATTGTGACATGTTCATACATGAATGATGTTTCTCTATCTCTCAGTCTGGATTACTGCTAATCTCTTCCTTTTCTTGAAATTGCTACTATTTAAAAAAAAAACAGGTAATATGGAATAATTAGCCACTATATACATTTCTTTGTAAACCGGGGCTAAGGATATGGAGACTGTACAGACTCCTATAAACTTCTGTTTTAAATAGTCTGAGATACAATCCTTACTATTTCCTTGATGTTTTATTAGAGCTAGTAAATCATTTATTGGGGCAACCTTTACCTAGATCCTTTCTAAATCCCCATAAAATGCATTTAACACAGAATACTGTACTCCCCAGCTTCAAAGATGCATGACTGTTGGGTGGGAAGTATTTGCTCTAGTGAAGCAAGTTCAAGTGTATGTGTTTTCTTTCTCTCTGACTCGTGTACTCCATTGCGTATTCTAACTCACTCTTCTCCCAACCCTGGTGCCTCATTTGAATCTTCTCATTTTGGTAAATTCAGTAGATTGTTTTTGTCTTGTTTTGTTTGTTTGTTTTTAGATGTACATGACAGTAAGGTGTATTTTGACATATTATACACATGTGGAGTGCAACCCATTCCAATTTGGATCCTATTCTTGTGGTTGTACATGATGTGGAGTTACCCTGGTCATGTATTCATATATAAGGACAGGAAAATTATGTCAGATTCACTCTATTGTCTTTCCTATTCCCATTCCATCTCCCTTCCCTTCATTCTCCTTTGTCTCATCCAATGAACTTTTAAACTTCCCCGCCCTAACCTCCCTTGTAATAGGTTAATATCCACATATCAGAGAGAACATTCCACCTTTGGGTTTTGGGGACTGGCTTATTTCACTTAGCATGATATTCTCCAGTTCCATCCATGTACTGGCAAATGCCATAATATCATTCTTCTTTATGGATGAGTAATATTCCATTGTGTAGAGATACCACACTTTCTTTATCCATTCATCTGTTAAAGGGCACCTAGTTGGTTCCATAACTTGGCTATTGTGAATTGAGTTGCTATTATTATTGATGTGGCTGCATCACTGTAGTGTGCTGATTTTAAGTCCTCT